TCTGTTATTCCCCCGATGTCAGGGTCCTATGCTTGCTGTCAAGCTATGGGGCTGATATCTGTTGACCTTCATATATCTGCTGTCTCCAACGCCATTAAACCTGCTTCCAAAAAATAATAAAACAAAGAGAAAAAAAAAAAAAAAAAAAAAAAAAAAAAAAAAAAAATAGTAACCAGAAAGCATGATATATACTGCCTGTCCCTTTTTCCAAGGAGAACAAAAACACACCACATCGTTTGTTATTTGTCTTTGTATTCTGGGCGCGACGCAAGCCATTCTAAGATACTTTCATAGCATAATACAAACTGCCGTAGGCTTTGCACCATACTTAGTCGCTGGCGACGGAAATCTTCCACCGTGCTGGCTATCAAATCGATGTCATCTCGATAGACCCAATCATCTTCATTTTGTTGATGCCTCATTTGTCGTTGAAGCATGTCAATGACACTGTCTACTGTGCAGAAAGTTCCAGTGCGCCCACACCCGGCGCTGCAGTGAACAATGATCTTTCGTGCACCTGGCGGCTCAGGCTCACTTAAAGCAGCATCCGGTCTTCTGCCATTCTTGGAACTCGAGATTTTGTTTGTCTCCTCGATTACTCGAAGAAGGTGCGCTGGCTGAGTGGGCGTTCCGAAATCAGGCCAATTGGAATATTGTAACTGTGTGATTTCACGCATGGGCTCAAAGGGTAGAGAACTGTGAATTAATCTGAGATGTCGGATAGTCATATAGGCATCCTCAAATGGACATGGTCCCGTGGATTCTCGTCGACTGTGCGTTCGCTTGTTCGGAGATGGCGGTGGCTTCTTGATGGCCAGAGGGACTTGGTATTCATTAATCAACTCAACCTGCAAAGGCCCATAGCTTGCGGATTGCCAATACGGATGACACTTGAGTTGGGGACCTTCCGACTCCGCCGTCAACATAACAATCAATCGAGCGTCTTGTTCCCAGACAACGTGCCAAAAATCCTGCAAAGCTTGCTGTTCAGCTATGTTTCAACTGATCCACTCAGCGGGGACAGACACTCACCTTGAACGTACTAGGGAGGGGAGCCTGAGTAGCAATGTAAAATTTATTCGACCGAGTGGCCTTCAAATAGCTCGCATTTACATAGTCACAGTTCCCTTGTGCAACACTCCCTAGCTTAACACGACAATGCTCATAAGGGTAAATGTTGTTATATCGGTTTTTATTTCCCATTTCAATTCCTGCAATTCGGTAAGACGTTTTGGATTTATTTGCTGCAGTCGTATTGTATGTCGCCGAATCTGATAACGCTTCCTGCATACGAACCTGTTCTGCGCGTTCAATCTGTAAAAATTTAGTAGATATCGATTTTCCGCGATCTCGAATATCGGATGCTTTGGCAAGCCAAGAAGGTAACGACTGTCTGGCGCGCTCTGTCAGGCACAATGGTACTTTCACAGATATTTGCCCGACACCATCTACTAATTCTCTGTTTTGGCGAATGCTATTATACATCGGGTTCACTGAGGGTGTAGGCTGGGGGATAAAACATCCCCCTGATATCGACGGAGCTTCGGGTAATGACAAATTAATAGAGAGAGGTTGTCTCGTCGAGGTGGCACGCCCACTATCTTGTTTCTTCTCGATCCAGTCTGGAAATTGGGCTAAGAAATGAGAAAAACCTCCACGCAAAATTAAAGGTTCTCCATTCCAACCTTCGTTTGTGAATTTCTTCAAAACATTAATCAAGGTCGATGCATCCTTGATTAGTGTCGTAGAGGCATCGTACACAACAATGCGCGTGCTGTTTCGCCATTTAGAAAACCTCTGTTTCTCAGCATCACCCGCAAGTGTATCGCTAAGCTTTTGCAAATTGAACGACGGCCTCTTCAATAAGGTCGTCGGAATACACAAATTCAAAGACCCTTTGATTCTGCCTTGAGAATACTGCGGGTATGGACGTATATCTAATATCAGAGTCACGTCTTCATGTGAAACTAACAAATCTTTGCAATCTTGACTTGAAATCATCTTGATGCCGCTATGATCAACTGACGCTGGAAGGCTTTTGCATTGCTGGAGGGCCGGTTCACAAGAGCAAGATGGGGGTAACACTGGCGAAGATTTCGAAACGGTACGGTTGCTCGAGTCGAAGGCATGTGATGAGCCAGAACGGACGATATGAACCGTAGGTACTGTCGGCTGTGGTTGACCAGAAGAAGGTTTTTGGGGGGACACAAGCTGGGGCCCTTCTTTTTGAAGTAGCCCCTGGGTTGTAATCATCGTTCCGTGCCCATTGTTTTCAGATTGCACCTTCCATGGCCAGGCTGCCAAAGAGGTCGAAGGCGAGACGGAACCATCCATTTTCGCTTTATCATGGTGTTGTGTGGACACTGAATGAGAGCTTTGCCAGCTAAAGGGAAGTACTTTAGAACCGTCATATCGGCTTGAAGCATCTAGTCCGGACGTGGACGGGAAAGGTCTCTGGGCCTTTGTGTAGATGGCGGGGAGAGTAAGCGGGGTGGCCTCTTTGGGGATCTGCGAGGCAAAGTGGATATGTAGCGTGCTAGTATCACTAGTAATGTTGAAGTAACTGGGGCTGGCATTACATCGCGGCTGGGGATCGATATTTTTCCCGCTTAGAAGAGATGTTGCGATTTGGCCAGCTGGGGAAGGAGTGACGACTTCAGACTTCCCACTTGGGGCGCTTGAAGAGAAACCACCTGGTGATTGATTTGAGACGCTGGTTGCAGACATATTCGGTAGACGTCGCCCACGTAGTGGAACCCTATTCCCTGAGGCTCAGAACGAAATGGAACAGAGCAAATATTTCAGATTCCTCGCCATAATTCCCCCCTCGGCAATCAATGTTACAATATCTGCAGATTAAAGGTGCTGATAACCCGACTCTTAAATTCGTGTGAGCTGACTGCTGGCCGAAGCAAAGATGGGTCTAGACTTTTGGGGGCTAAATGCGTCGCGGAGCACGGGGAGAACTCAGGATGCTATGCAGAAGAAACAACCAATAGCCCGTCTCTTGCTAGTCAGGCTGATGGCCAACCACGTCCTGAGTCACTGTTAATCTGTTTTCATTTCTTCCCAGTTAAGGAGGCTCGTGCGACAGGTAAGGTAGAGGGGTACACAAGTGAGAAGACTAAGATTGGTAGTATAAGTTAGCGACATATACTGTGTCGAGGTATAAGAGAAACTTATATATAGGTTCAAGGCTAGACAATTGGGTTGCCACGGAAGGGTTCAACAGAAATGACAGAATACATATCCAGATAAATATGTAAGGCTGATGATATCCTGTGTGGAGGAAGTTGGCTGCGGCGGTGGCAGTGTGAGCGTGGAAGTTAGGAGTCACTTTGGTTAGGCTATGACGTTATTTCGAAGTCACACTCAACAGGGCCTAGCCACCATCGCCACTAGATCACCAACATCGAAAGGAGGGAACAGAAAGCAGGGAGAACTGGTCTTGGAAATACCATGGATCATTAGAATTAAGAAATTCAGATCGTACCAAGTTGATAGCTGAGTTGTCATAAAAGAACCATGATTGTGCTCCCCGCTCTTTGAGGCTTAATTCAACTGAGAGGGAGCAACTACACCGTACGATGTGCGAAAGGGTGAATGGAATCTTTAGTGCACATCGAAATGCAATGACGACTTCAAAGAATCCAATAGAAGCAAATATCCCAGTTCTTGTCAGCTGAGAAACAGCTTAAAAAAAAGGGAGAGAGGATGAGGAATGGCAGGGGAAAGAGATTTTCCTCGGGCTTGCTCAGGGGTGGTAATAAGGATGTGAAGGTTGCAAGAAAAGGGACGAAGCCTTTTGATGCCTGGGTTGCTTAGTCAGCCAAACTAGCCAGCTAACTCAACTACACAGTACAAGAACGGAGTACGGAGTACTCCGTAGGACTGCTGTTGAAATACATAGTTATTTAAACTACAGGAAACCCAGGCGATGGTCTGAAGTTTGTCCCAGTCTTTGTCAGGACTCAGCACGGATTCTCGTTGTGTCCGCAAACTACATACAAGAGAGAACTTCAAATTGCTCGGAACCTTGTTTCAATCGCATGATCCTGATAATCGTACCATATGACTCTGCCTGACATTCTCAGACCATGATAGAGTTTCTCTAATGTCTGTTTGTTTCCGGATGATGCAGCAATTGGATCTGATAGCGTGATCCCAAAGTCATGTACTTGTAGTTGTATGTATGTACAATATGGATGGAGTGCCAGGGGCTGTTTCGGCTTAGTCTAACCCGTATGGTATTCCCAACTGGTTGACACACTGACGCAGAGACGACATCTCCATCTCGTGTGTTGAAGGGTTGTGTAGTTCTGGCGCCCGGATTTTCCTTGACCACCCACACGCGGCGCGTAGTCTGCCTATGTCGAGGACCTGAGGCACCATACACGGTACTTTTAAAAAGATGGATAGTCATGCATATTCTGTACATACAGAGATATGTTTGTACTGTGTATGTAGTAGTGTGGATGCAATTTCCCTGCATCAGCTTCGTTCCGGGCTACTGTGTAGAATGACGACAAAGGTTCTCCAGAAGGATTTTGTCTCCAGTTTCATCTATCACATAGTATTACTTGTACACAGTATCCTGGTCCTCAAGGCCCATGGGTTTCCAAGTACTTTTGCATGCCTAGAACTTCATGTTCAAGACGAGTGGGATGTGCATAATCTGAACCATGTGCCTGAAAGCCATAACCAGTCACGTAGGGCTGATGCAAGAAGCTTTCCTGAGAGTGTAACTATGGAATTTCGTAACCGAAATTTGAAATGAAAAAGACTGCTCCAGAACTCGAGAAGGCCCTGCTTTCAGACTTCCGGGAGCGTTCTCAGGCGAAGGCGAATGATAGAAGTTAACAGTTACTGGCGGAGATGTTAAAAAAAGTAACTTTGCCAAGGTCATGCGTCCCAGCTGATCACGGAATAAGGTCAAGCCGCTCCGACGGGAAGTTGCTCAGCTTGATAAGGATTTTAATGGGAATTTTTTGCAATATCTTAGACCAGTGGCGCAGTGGTTAGCGTTGTCCACTTATGTGTCTCCTGCCATAAGTTTACTTTCGTGGCACGATACTCATGCCATGGACGGGTCCCGGGTTCGAATCCCGGTTGGTCTACTGGTTTATTTATTTTTTTTTTTTTTCCCTCTTTCCTTCACTCCACATCACACACTGGTCTCTCTGCCCCCTGAAAGGACTGTAAATTTATTCATAGTCTCCGTAGAAGCCCATGAGTCAAATGATATCAAACAGAGTCGTTGAATCTACCTCCCTGCACAGAATGGGTCAACAAATTCCGAACCAAATTCTGTACTTCTCGAGCGCAACAGCAGGAAGTATGGAAGTGACAGCAAACGCCAGAACTTGATTGAGGACAGAGCAGAGCCAGTTCGTAAGGTTCTTAGAAAGCAGATCTTTGCGACACAGATTGTTTGGGATAAGCTTCTTCGCTCCGAGTATCTGGAGCCATATGTACGGAGTACACACATCGTATAATAGCAGCCTACGGAGAACTTGCACACCATTCACCGAGGCTCCAGATATTCAAGTGGTGCATACATCCATGTACATGCGCAGTACACCATCAGCTAGCCGTATTCGAGCGGTTTCAATCCTGTTTAGAGGTTTATAGCCCTAGAGATTCGGGTTTCTTCATCATATCTGCTTCGGACCTGAGCCACATCCATTTCCTGTTAATTTATAAAGTCGAGATACGACATCCGCGCTTGCAAGATTCCGCTGACCGCAATGTTGGGTCAACAAGCCCGAAATGAACGAGTTCCGCAAGTTACTCGAGCGCCAGGGTGCTCATCAATGGTCTTTGGCAAAGCTGGCCACGACAATGCAATGGTTTTAATAATCATCTTAAATACCCCGCTTGTGCGAACCGGAGAGAGATAGACGGGACGATTGGTGCATATGGAATTCGCATATAAATATATCTTCAGTTAACTGAGCCTACCATCTGGCTCTCCCTTCCATCGCTGGACTCGCTTTTGTTCCCAGTTATCCAAGTCCTTGGCCATTAATCTCTGTAAAAGCAAAAACCTGTCAGTACTGTCGTTTCGAATTGAAACGAACACAGCCCCATATTGGGCCACATACATAATATTCTTCCTTTTCACTGCCTAAAACTCTCCTCCGCGGGTTCATCTTGATCTCGTTATCCCTATCACTATCTGGACTCTTTATTCCGAGGGCCAATGCTTCCTGCTGGTTCACTTGTTGGACTTTCCGGTCGTGGCGCTCGTACCGGAGAGCGGTCGCTGGAGTTAGAACAAAAGACCCAGCAACCATTAGACTGATGAACGGAAGGCCGAACAGCAAAAACGGGTGTTTGGATAAATGCGCTCGATACATTTGGCCGAGCCGTTCGCCGAGAGATGAAGCTGCGGACGCTGTTGGCCTGAACCGCTTTGCCTGAAAAATAGGCATGTTCGTATATTCATTCGCTTGAACAGAAGACTCAAATTGAAAGTGGCAATTGGAATGGCCCTTAAGATTGAATAAAAAGGCAGAAATGAAAACAGTGCACCCCTCTCTGACACTGGCAGGTCATGGATGTCAATCTCTCATACCATATCAATGAAGTGAGAAACTACTCTCGGTAAATAGTTATTCCGCCACCAGCTTAGTTAAAGCTTGTCATCCAGTAAACAATCGAAATGTTGACTGAACACATCAAGTGCAAGTTCATCTTTGCTCAGGGAGTCTGAGGGGAAGCTGTTGGGATTGAGCGGGCAATTTTGTCTTAAGGCTTCTCTATCTCAACTAAGCTACATATCTACTTATAACCTCCATCAGCATGTTTCCAACCCTCGGCCAGACCTCTTCAGCAGGGTCTGTTTTGTCAAGCACCACGAACAATCAAGCTGGCAAGAGAGGACTATTTGATAGCCCGACTACTTCGCAGCCAAGCCGACCATCTCCGTTTGCAACTGCGGGAACGGGCTCTGGATTTGGAACTGGTTTTGGCGCGCAACCCGCTGCCAATACCGCCAGTATCTATTCCAACACTAATCCGACTGCGACGGGACCTCCTCTTGCGCCGTCTACTCAGCCTGCCTTGGGGTCATCGCTACTTGGGCAGCCCTTTGCACAAGGCACTCAATCTCAATTAAACCAACAAACGCCTGCTGCTGGTCAGTCCGTTTTGTCCACACAGCCCACACAGCCTGCATACTTCAGCAGCCTACTGGAGCGGGGAAAGAAACGGCCTCATCCATCGAGTCTTAAGGCCACTCCGGTGGACCTTCCAAACCTCCAATTGGGTCTTGACGACATTCGAAGAACCGCTCGGGGTCTAGGGAACAGAGAAGCCGCTGCGCATGTTGGTGCTGATGGAAAGGCGTGAGTGATTGGCTTTATGAAGGGCGAAGTTGACAATACACGAACAAGCTAATATTCCATGACTTTCTCCTCCAGACACTACGCACTGACAGCATCTGGAATCTCCCCGGGCCAAGTTCTCCATGATTTGAGGTCATTGGATGCACAAGCTCCAGCACCTAGCCCGGCAAAAGATGACGAACCTTTCGACCCTGATAACCAAAAGTTTCTAAGACGTATACAGCAACGTGGCCGGGAAGCTATGATTGCCGAGAGCTTCGCACGAGTTCGGCGGGATTTCGACGCGTTTTTGGAAGAGCGGGTCAACTTAAATTGGGATGAACAACGACAGAAGATTTATGAGCATTTTGGCTTGGCCCCTAAGGGTGAAGCCGGCAGCAATGCACCTGGGGCCACTATGCGTGAGGGTGGAGCCTTCGGGGCAACCAAAGGCGCCAAATTTGGGACAGATCTAGGACAGCGGCCAACATCAAGCACGAGACGGAGCGTTTTCGGACGCTCAGGGCTGTCAAAGTCTGTCATTGGCTCCACTGTCCGTAGTGGTGATGCCACCCAAACTTTCTCGCCCACTGCCTCAAGTATGCAATCTGTGGATGCACGTTTCCTGCGAGAAAAGATGGGGCAATTCGGTACAAAAGTTCAGCACTTGAACGAAGCGAGATTACAAGAGAAGGCACTTCCTGTCCTTCACGAATTTGCTGAGGTTGAAAAGCTAACGATCTCTGACGTATGTTCATTTCTCCAATATTTTCGTTTCCACCAGTATTAACCCTAGTGCTTTAGGTCCCTCGCCAACTTTTCGAAGCGTACCAGGCGTTGATAAGCATTACGAATGAGAGTCAAAACATGGTTAGTTTTGCGGAGCCAGGGGCAATAAAAGAACGCCAATTTGCCCAAGATTATCTAGATGAGAATGTCAATTCTAATGAATCCGTCCGATTGAGGGGAAGGGTTATCGAGGGTTCTAGGAGGTATTTGGAGCACGCATTCTACAGAGAAGTTGAGAACGCCATTGTCAAAAACCCTAGGGAAGCTGAACTTGGTGGAGTTCCATCAATAACCAACAAAATTCGGGCTTATATTCGCCTAAAGGCGGCAAGGAAGGATCTCGCTCCGGACGGAATAGAATTACAAATGGTTGGCCAAGATTATTGCTGGGTGCTCATATTCTATTTGCTTCGATGTGGGTTTGTTTCGGAGGCCGCTGAATATGTGAGCACGGATCAGGGGTTCCGGTCTATGGACTACAAATTCGTCACTTATATGACTACCTATGCCCAGCAAAGGCGTCTCCCTAGAGATTTGCAACAAAAGATTAATGGCGAGTATCAGCAGCGGCTCCGAAACGCTCCCGAAAAGACTATCGATCCATACCGAATGGCTTGCTACAAGATCATCGGTCGATGTGACCTTACTCAGAGGCGACTGGAAGGCATAAGTCAGGGAGTAGAAGATTGGATGTGGCTGCAGTTCACTCTGGCTCGAGAAGACAGTCGCACTGAGGAGGCTGCGGGCGATTTATTCGGATTACAAGAAATTCAGAACGACGTCACAGAAATAGGACAACGAATATTCGTCAAAGGGCAGGAAGGGCCTGGTGGGTATGGAATCTATTTTCTTCTGCAGATCTTAAGCGGCATGTTTGAACATGCGGTTTCTTATCTTTGGAAATACGCTCCAATTAACGCCGTCCACTTCGGTATCGCTCTGGACTATTATGGCCTACTTCGCGTGTCTGACTTTTACACTTCTGGTGAAGAACTATGTAAGTTGTTCCTTGGTTGAAATCGTCAAATGTTTTGTAGATATAGCTGATGCGGTGCTAGTGTCTTTTACCACGAAGCAGCTTCCACAGATCAACTTCGCCTCGCTTATCACCCAGTATACCCAGGAATTCCGAACAGGAAATGTCGAAGCTGCCGTCGACTACTTTACTTTGATCTGTCTTAATGCAGATCTTCCAGAAGAATTGGGCAAGTCGCAAGCATCTGTGTGCCACGAGGCATTGCGAGAGTTTATTTTAGAAACTCGCGGCTATGCCAAATTACTTGGGGATATCAAATCTGATGGCACTAGAATCAGAGGTGCAATCGAGCAACGCTTAAAACTTATCAAAATTGACGACCAGGAAGAGTTCCTGAAGACCATCACTGTCCAGGCGGCCGCTGTTGCCGATGATAAAGGCCTCACTGCAGACGCTGTGCTTTTGTACCACTTGGCTGAAGACTATAACAATGTGATTGCGATTCTCAATCGGGCTCTCTCAGATGCGGTGGCTGTCAATCTAGGCGCTGCGGCACTGAAAATTCCGCAAACCAAACCTAGTGCTGAACAGCAAGCTGAGGGTCAAAGGGGAGTTTCTGCGGAGACTGGAACCAGTTTCAGCCTCACATCTGTGGAAGATCCGGTTGCCCTTGCAAAGAATATGATTGGGCTATACAATACTAATGCGATGTATTACCAGAAGATACATCCTATTAACCGCGAATCTTGTGGAATATTGCTCCGCATGATGGATGCGAAGAGCAAAGTTGAAGCTGGAAGATGGGCTCAAGCACTGGATGTAAGAATTTTGGCACCTCCCTGGATGACTATTTGCTTCCCAATATACTAAGCCTTTGTGCAGGACATCAATAATCTGCAGATACTGCCACTAAGCGCCCGAGGATCTGTCACCTACGTTCGCAGCGCTGCTCAGTCATTTTCGGCCCTGCCACCTGTCATTGTACGCAATGGCGGCCATCTGATCATGTGGAGTATTACGTGTA